GACACAGCCACCACTTCAAGCTTTTTTTGCTTATGTGGCACTGAAGAATCGAACCCAGGGCCTCATGCATTCAAGACAAGCACTCTACCACTGAGCCATCTTCCCAGCCCCACAACACTGAATTTTATCCACTGCAGTCAGAATGGCTACCATCAAAAACAAAGACTCCAACAATCATAGGCAAGGATGTGGGGAAAAAGGAACTCCAATACGCTGTTGGGGCCCCTGTGAACTAGTGCAACCACTGTAGAAACTAGTTTGAGGCCACCTCAGAACATTAAAGATAGAACTACCCATGATAATGTCACTAAAGATAGTACGACTCACCCACCAATAATAGCACTTTGGGGCGGGATATAATAGTGACCCCTGGACACACATGTTTGTTGTACCACTATTCACAACAACCAAGCTATGGAAATAGCCCAGAACCAACCAAACAATGAATGGGTCAAGAAAATGTGGTATGTGTATGTATATACACACACAATGGAGTATTATTCAGCCATTAAGAAGAATGAAATTATGTCATTTGCAGAAAAATGGATGGATCTAGAAAGCATAATAAAGTGAAGCAAGCCAGACTCTGAAGAACAAAGTTTGTTCTCTCTTATAATCTGGTTGTTAGGCCTAAATTATGTGTAAACAGTATTATGTATTTAATTAAAACATGGTATTTGCAGATGTGAGATATGGTAAAAAAAAAAAAAAAACCTTTTTAACAATTAACATGAAGTGAAAAGAACATTAGGAAGTTGAAACATGTCTCTGGTACAAGTACTTGTGGAAGGGGTCAGACAAACATACAGGAGAAAGGAGAGTGAGTATAATCAAAGTACTTAATGTGCATGTGTGATTTAAGAAGGGTCGAGAGGGGGCTGGGAAGGTGGCTCAGTGGTAGAGCGCCTGCCTTGCATGCCTGAGGCCCTGGGTTCAATTCCTCAGCACCACATAAGCAAAAAGAAAAAAGCCAGACGTGGCGCTGTGGCTGAAGTGGTAGAGCACTAGCCTTGAGTTGAAGAGCTGAGGGACAGTGTTCAGGCCCCATGACCGGACCCAAAAAAAAAAAGAAGGATCTAGAGGGAGGAAGGAGAATGACACATGATGCAGATGCATTGTATATGTCAATGGGCATGTTTAAAAAAACTGATAAAACTGATATTAAAAATATTGGGGCTGGGAAGGTGGCTCAGTGGTAGAGTGCTTGCCTTGCATGCGTGAAGCCCAGGGTTCAATTCCTCAGCACTACATAAGCAGATAAAGCTGGAAGTGGTGCTGTAGCTCAAGTGGTAGAGCGCTAGCCTTGAGCTGAAGAGCTGGGGGATAGCTCCCAGTCCCAGAGTTCAGACCCCACAACTGACACAAAAAAAAAAAAGCCAAACTGAAGCAGGGTGTCGGATGCTCATCCCTGTAATCCTAGCTACTCAGAAGGCTGAGATCTGAGGATTGCAGTTCAAAGCCAGCTCAGGAAGTAAAGTCCTCGAGACTCTTATGTTCAATTAACCACTAAAAACCAGAAGTGATCATGACCCCCCCCAAAAAAAATTGAGCCTGGCACCATTGGCTCATGCCTATACCCCTAGCTCCTCAGGATACTGAGATTTGAGGATCAAAGTTCAAAGCCAGCCCCAGGAGAAAAGTCCCCATGAGACTCAAACTGGAAGTGGAATTGTGGCTCAAGCAGAGAGCACTAACCTTGAGCACAAAGAGGCTCAAGGACAGTGCCCAGACCAAAAAAAAAAAAAAAAAGCCAAACTGGAGACATGGGGTAAAGTGGAAGGACAGCAGTCATGCTGGACGTGTGGCTCAGTGGTAGAACAAGCACTCACATAGTATGTGCAAGGCCCTGGATTCTGCCCTCAGCTCTATCTTTAGTGGAATTATCAGGCAGTAGTTCTATCTTTAGAAATTTTTAATTCAAAAATATGTAAGTAGCCGGGCTCTGGTGGCTCATGCCTGTAATCCTAGCTACTCAGGAGGCTGAGATCTGAGGATTGCGGTTCAAAGCCAGCCCCGGCAGGAGAGACCATGAGACTCCTATCTCCAATAAACCACCAGAAAACTGGAAGTGGTGCTGTAGCTCAAGTGGTAGAGTGCTCGCTGAGGGACAGTGTAGTGCCCAGGCCCAGAGTTCAAGCCCCATGACCAACCAAAAAAAAAAAAAATGTAAGTAATAGTCCATACTTAAATTACATTATTGTTAATAAGTATCCATTTCTGCTTCTCCTTCAATATGTGTGTATTTAGTAGATTACATAGAATTTAATGGTATTTTATAAGTATTCGTTCTTTATACTATTTATTATTAACTATCACAGAAACTGATTTCTTCCAGCCATAGTAACAAAAAATAGTTGTATATGCGTTAAGAAATTAACAGTCTCCTAAGTTTTTCTTTCTTTTTTCTTTTTTTTTTTTTGTCAGTCGTGGGGCTTGAACTCTGGGCTTGGGTGCTGTCCTTGTGCTCTTCAGCTCAAGATGAGCGCTCTACCGCTTGAGCCACAGCACCACTTTCTCTCCTAAGTTTTTCATACGGAGAACTTACTGGAATGTAGCCTTGAGAGTAATGATTAAGAATATGTTTTGGAAGCCGAGCGCTGGTGGTTCATGCCTGTAATCCTAGCTACTCACTGAGGATCGAGGTTCAAAGCCAGCCCGGGCAGGAGAGACCGTGAGACTCCTATCTCCAATAAACCACCAGAAAACCGGAAGTGGAGCTGTAGCTCAAGTGGTAGAGCGCTTGCCTTGAGCTGAGAGCTGAGGGACAGCACCCAGGCCCAGAGTTCAAGCCCACGGCCGACCAAAAAAAAAAAAAAAAAAAGAATATGTTTCGGAATCAGTAGGCTCAAGTTTAAGTTTTTCCTAGTCTTATTACCAGGAGAAATAATTTAATTGCTTACACCCTCATTTTCATCATCTTTATTGTTTTGTTTTGGTTTTTTTTGGGTCCGGTCGTGGGCCCTGAACTCTGAGCTGGGTGCTGTCCCTCAGCTCTTCAGCTCAAGGCTAGTGCTCTACCACTTGAGCCACAGCGCCACTTCCGGCTTTTTTTCTTTTGGTTATATGGTGCTGAGGAATCAAACCCAGGGCCTCAGGCATGCAAGGCAAGCGCTGTACCACTGAGCTACCTTCCCAGCCCATTTTCATCATCTTTAGAACAAGATAGTAAAACCTATCTCATAGGATTGTTAAAAGATTTTCATAAGACAAGATTTTTTTTAATATTTCTAGTGCCTACTACAATAGCTCTAAAAATTTCCCAGTTTTATTAGTCTTAGTTTTCATATTAGATCTGGCACATTGCAAATTTATTATTGGAATATTATAATTTTATATGATTCTGTAAGATTTTAATATGGCCCTTGTTTAATGATTTGTAAATTGAAATAATTAGTAGCTTTTTATTAGCATATATTAGCTATACTAGGGAGGATGTCATTGTGACATTTCCAGATAGATGTACGGTGTGTTCCAATCATTCTGTCCCTAACTCCCTGCCCAGCACTTGTTCTTACCCCCATTACCCACTCCCTAATACTATTTCAACAGGTTTCATTGTTCTTCTTTCATACATGCTGGACAACCTATTTGACCGTATTCATCCTCTTCCACCTTCATTAGCCTAACCCCTCACCAGGACCCACCCCCCAACAGAGTCTGTTGTTCTTTCTCTCTCCTCAACCCCCTATTTACCAAATGCTTTAGTGCATGTAAAAGTAATGTGACCATTCTTTATTAATATTCTCCAAGGACCGCCTAAACTGGGGAAAACAAATGATTAAGTAATTCTAATTGGGTGAGTTTGAAGGAAGGGGCTGCCTAGTCTATCCTAAAAGAGCTTATGAGAGAATTCTGAATCTCATGAGAGATAATGAAGGTGAGATTTAACAAACTTTGTACCAAATGGAGGGGTTGTTTTGTAATAATGAGACATAGTATGATGGGGAAGTAAGAAGCAGAGAGCCGTAAGCAGAAGCATTTCATTTTCATGGTCTGAAGAACATAACAGTAATGGAGATTATATAAAACTGTTTAGTGAAAGCTTTGAAAACAATAATGAGATTTGAAGGCAAGCTAAAAGCATAGTCTTGATTGTTGAGACAGGAGAGAAACAAACCTGCTTTTTAGTCTCTCCTTGAAGTTGAGACCACTTGGGTTCATGTTCTCTTTCTCCAGTCTCTACTTGCAGCAGCAGATTTGTGGAGAGGTTTCCATATTGGCAAGTGAGAAACCAGGGAGGAATTCTCAGGTCCTCCAACTCTGTGCCAGAGATTTCCATTGAAGTGTAGCACAACTGGAAATCAGGGCTCTAAAACGAAGATTGCCACTCTATTTTTGTACTACCATTATGGTTTCTAAGCCCATAAGGAAGAAAAAAATAGTACTAGTTTTCAGAGAATACTGAGAAAGATTCAGTAACTTCTTTATCTATTTATTTTTACTTTCAGCAGAGAGAGAGAGAACCAAGGGGCCTTCTGACACACTTTCCTCATTGGATAGCTCGCTCGCTCTCTCCATCTCTCTCTCTCCTTCTCTCCTCCTTTCTCCCTCTCTCCTTCACTTCCTGCTCCCTTTCCCTCCCTCTTTACCTCCTTCTCTTTCTCCCCATTTCTTTCCCTTTCCATCTCTTTCCTCCCTTCTCTCTCCGTGAAGGGGTTATTTATAGTCTCAGAATGAGTAATCATACACTAATCATACATTTTTAGGACTTCTTGAAGAATTAAACCTAGCATTTCTAGATCTTTGGGAGAATGGCCTTGATGGACTATTAGAAAAATAAACAGAGCTTGGCACGGGTGGCACACAGCTGTAATCCTAGCTACTCAGGAGGCTGAGGATCTCAGTTCAAAGCTAGCCCTGGTAGGAAAGTCTCTGAAACTCATCCCCCAATTAACCACCAGAAAACCAGAAGTGGCACTGTCACTCAAAGTGGTAAAGTGCTAGCCTTGAACAAAATTGCTCAAAGACAGTGTCCAGGCCTTGAGATCAAGCACAACAACCTACCAAAAAAAAACCCCTCACAGTGCTAGGAATGTGGCTTAGTGGTAGAGTGCTTGCCTAACACACATGAAGCCCTGGGTTCAGTTCCTAAGTTCAAGCCCAGGACTGGCAAAAGAAAAAGGAAAAAAATGGAAGCCCATGCCTTACATTAATTAACCAGTCATTCAGTTTGTTTCTTTTTCTTAGCCAAAGACCATAGGATATTCAAAGGAGAAATACAGGGAAGAAGCTGATAAGTGAAGTTAAAGGCAGAGGAGGCTAAGAGTAACTACAAGCAGTAAGTGACTGTAAAGTTAAATAAAACAGAAAGCAGCCAGGCGCAGATGGCTCACACCTGTAATCCTAGCTATTCAGGAGGCTGAGATCTGAGGATTGCGGTTCAAAGCCAGCCCCAGCAGGAAAGTGCATAAGACTCCGATCTCCAATAAACCACTAGAAAACGGGAAGTGGCACTGTAGCTCAGTAGAGCGTTCGCCTTGAGCTGAAGAGCACAGGGACAGCGCTCAAGCCCGGAGTTCAAGCCCAAGACCGACAAAAAGAAAAAAAAAGACTCTATTTATAAAGTACTGACAGAAAACAGAAATATATAGTCTAATGATATCAGAAAAAGTAAGCAATTCATAGGGAATATATGAAGCAGGACAACAAAGTCGCATGATTACGAAAAGTTAGAATTATCAGCCAGGTATCAGTGGCTTACACCTAGCTATTCAAGAGGCCAAGATCTAAGGATTATGGTTGAAAGCTAGCTCAGGCAGGAAAGTCCATGAAATTCTTACCTCAAATAGACCAAAAAAAAAAAAATCTAAAGTGGAGTTATGGCTCAAGTGTTAGCATGCCAATCATGAATGGAAAGGCTAAGGAAAGCAAGAGAATGGGCGATGTCCAAAAAGAAACTTATTTATTACCTGACTTAGGTAACTGTAACCCCTTTGTACATCACCTTTATAACAACAATAAAAAATACAAAAGAAGCTAAAGATAAAGGAAAGCTCCAAGGCCCTGAGTTCAAGCTCCAGCACCAGCAAGAAAGAGAGAGAGAGGATTGAACAGACAGCTACTGTCACCATTTGTCCAGTTGCTGGCTTCCTGTCACTGAGGCCACATCCCTCCAGTGCATCTACTTTACCACTTTAGTTGGGAGATAACTATCCCAAAGGCCTAGGGAAGTTCAGAAGCTTAACCCATAAAACCTCACAAAAGGCTGAGAAGGTGGCTCAGTGGTAGAGTGCTTGCCTCTCATGCATGAGGCCTTGGGTTCAATCCCTCAGCACCACGTAAGCAAAAAGCCGGAAGTGGTTCTATGGCTCCTGTTAGAGCACTAGCCTTGAGCTGAAGAGCTGAGGGACAGCACGCAGGCCCAGAGTTCAGGCCCCATGACTGACAAAAAAAAGCCTCACAATTTGTATCTGGCCCATAGTTTATAAGCTTCTTTAATGCCCACCTCATCTATAAAATAGTATGTGCCTCAGTCTTGGAGTGAGACAAATATAAGACATCTAGCACAGTACCTGAAATAAAGCATCAGTAGAAGCTTGTTTTATTATTAGAGAAACAAACCCATGGGCAGGGAAGGTGGCTAAGTGGTAGAGAGCTTGCCTCACATGCATGAGGCCCTGGGTTCGATTCCTCAGCACCACATAAACAGAAAAATCTGGAAGTGGCACTGTGACTCAAAGGGTAGAGCGCTGTCCTTGAGCTGAAGAGCTGAGGGACAGTGCCCAGGCCCAGAGGTCAAGCCCCACGACCAACCAAAAAAAAAAATCCGGGCTGGGAAGGTGGCTCAGTGGTAGAGCGCTTGCCTTGCATGCTCGAGGCCCTGGGTTCGATTCCTCAGCACCACATAAGCAAAAAGAAAAAAGCCGGAACTGGCACTGTGGCTCAAGTGGTAGAGCACTAGCCTTGAGCTGAAGAGCTGAGGGACAGCACCCAGACCCAGAGTTCAGGCCCCACGACCAGACCCAAAAAAAAAAAATCCCATGTGCCATAATTCTCGGTCTGTGAAGCCATACTATCTTACTTCTCTTTGTACTGCTTTTTCTGCAGTGCCTCTTCCTCCTCTTATCTATTAAACATTGGTAATTCTATAAATCTGGATTTCACTTAACTGCCTGTCTTCAACCTCTGATTTTAGCATTTATTCAGCAACTCCCAGACCTCTTTTCACTGTCTCTAGCCCAGGTTCATACCCTGAGTTTCAAAGATCTGAATATAATACTAGCTATTAGACACCTACTTTGGGATCTTTCTCATTTACCTTGATTTCAACAAATATCAAGCATCACAATTTGGGGATGGGGAATGGTACCAAGGTTTGAAAATTCAGGCCCTCATGGCTTGCTTAGCTTCCTTGTTCTGCTGTTGCTCTGCCACTCAAGCCTCAGCTCCAGCCTCTGTTATTTTTAGAACATTTAAAAGTAGGGGCTGGGAAGGTGGCTCAGTGGTAGAGTGCTTGCCTTGCATGCATGAGGCCCTGGGTTCCATTCCTCAGCACCATATAAGCAAAAAGAAAAAAAGCCGGAAGTGGTGCTGTGGCTCAAGTGGTAGAGCGCTAGCCTTGAGCTGAAGAGCTGAGGGACAGCACCCAGGTCCAGAGTTCAGGCCCCACAACCGGACCCCCCCCCAAAAAAAAGAACATTTAAAAATATTCCAGCCAGGCACTAGTGGCACACCCCTGTAATCCTACCTACTCAGGAAGCTGAGATCTGAGGATTGAGGTTCAAAGCCCAGGCTGGCCAGGAAAGTCTGGGACTCTTATCTCCAATAAACCACTCAAAACCTGGAAGTGGTACTGTGGCTAAAGTGGTAGAGTGCTAGCCTTGAGCTGAAGAGCTGAAGGACAGCCACCAAGCCAAGAGTTGAAGCCCACAACAACAACAAAAAATCCATTTTTGCCATGTGTAAAAGTTGTCAAAATTTAAAATAAATTAAGCCATAGTAGCTCATAGATACTCAGGAGGTAGAGCTCAAGATGATAATGGTTTGAGGCCAGCCTAGACAAAAAATTAAGACATCATCTCAACCAATAGTTCTGGTTGTGGTAGCATGACTGGCATCCCAGCTATCAGGGAACCATAAATAGGATTGCAGTCCAGATTAGCTCAGGTATAAAAAGAAATTCTGGGGTGGGGATGGGGGGGTAGCAGGTGGTATGGGGGGGGGGAGGAGATGGGAAGGGATAGGAAGGGGAAACAAAGGAGGAGGCAACAATGCTTGATAAGAAATGTACTCATTATCTTGCCCACACAATTGTAACTCCTCTGTACAGTATTTTCACAATTAAAAAAAAATTCTATTTGCAAAACAGAAAGCAGAAAGGGTTAAGGGAGTGGCTTAAGTGATAGAGTACCTGCCTGACAAGAACAAGGTTCTAAGTTCAAACCCCAGTGCAGGGGGAAGGGAGGTGCAGAATAAATAAATTACATGTTATTGATATTGTATGTTAAACTATCATGTATTTTTTAAATTCACAGTATCAATATTTTATACTTAAACTGAGTTTAATGTCAGTGTAACACCATCCTCAAATATGTACTAAGCATAAGTTATAAGATACGTTGTTAGATACAGATATAGAGCCAGGGGCACCCGTGGCTCACTCTGCTCATGCCTGTAATTCTAGCTACTCAGGAGGCTGAGATCTAAGGATTACGGTTCAAAGCCAGCCTGGGCAGGATCATCTGAGAGACTCCTATCTCCAATAAACCACTCAGAAAACCAGAAGTGGTGCTGTGGCTCAAGTGGTAGAGTGCTAGCCTTGAGCTGAAGAGCTGACGGACAGCGCCCAGGCCCAGAGTTCAAACCCCATGACCAAACCCCAAAAAATAAATACAGATATATTTCTATGACAGGTATGATAATCCAATGTCTTCCAATGTCTTTGAGAAACAGGATTCTCAAAATATTTCATGGTTTGACATGCAATTCTGAAATGCTGCCACTTAGCAACATTTATTTTATAATTAAATATACCAAATATTTACAAAACTGTTTCTGCTATATGTATTCTGAAGTGTTACTTTTCTTTCAAAGCATTTTCAGAAGGCAGATGCCTAGAATACTGGTGTAAACTATATCTTAAGAATCTCAGGTGCTATCTTATATATTTTCTCAACTCTGTTTATTTAAGCTTTTTATTTAAGTCAGTGTCTTAACAAAAGACACTGGAATTTTCCTTTTTACAAAGATGCCCTTGAATCAAGGACCTTTACCTATGTTTAAAGAAAAGTGAGGTCTTCCTTTGGCTCCAAGCCCAGTGCAGTCGCACACTTGGCCATTTTTTTCACTTTGTTGTATTCCTTTGAAAATTAGAAATATGCTGTTCTCTGCTTTTTTGAGGCTGCCAAGAGATGAAATGCTTTGATCCTTTAGCTAACATTAGAGCATTTCTGCCAGATACAACATATGACAAGACACATTGTGCTGCTTCTCCCTTCACATAAATACTGAACACTTTTAAGAAAAAGAATCAGAAGACTTACTTGTTAGAATTGAAAAGAAGTATACCTTCACCCAAATAAAACAACAAAAAGATGGTAATATAATAGGATGCAGGTCATTTAAAGCATTGCATAACATTGGAGCCCTAGATACAAGGTCTTTCCTACATTGCTCTGTACCACATTTATTCCTGTTATTTAGTCCCTGTTTTTCTGATTGAGAGCTGTTAGGGCATAGCCTTCCTTCACACCAGAGTAAATGGAGTCCCACCATATCACCCTCTTCAGTCCTTCATTTCTCACCTGGGGACCATCGTATTTTTATTTCACTTTGCTTCTTCCACATGGATGTTATTTCAGACAATCATTTTTCAATTTTCATATTCAGGTTGATCAGTCTTACATGGCTTTTCCCATTCATAACACACCTTCTCAACTAAATTTCCATTAAACTGGACAGGATGGAGCACATATGTTCTAGCTACTTGAGAAGCTGAAGCCAGAGAATTGCTTGAGCCTAGGAGTTTGAAGCCATTGTCTAAACAGAACAAAATCTTATCTCAGAGAAGGAGGAAGAAAAAAAAACTCATCATTCAGAGACTACCACTAGAACTACTTCCTCAAAACACCTATGACTACCTAAACTCTGTATATGACTTCACATCTTCTAAATCTTTTAACTCTTCCAATCAGTTCCCCAGTGGTATCAAGTTATTCTATAAACATCAGACTTCAGTCCCCATATACTCCTGGATCTAAGTACCAATTCCAACACTTAAAGAGTAAAGAAAAAAAGGAAAAGGGAAAAACAGCGGATTAAAAGAGAGTTAATCCCACTTGGCACTTTACTCCTATGTGATAAGCCCACAAGGACTGTACCTTGGACCTAGAAGTTCCTGACAGGCCTGTCCTGACTCCAACCACAGACCTGGAAACTCCTGTGCTGCACGTGTGAACTTCCCAGAGGCTCCCAAGTGGCACATGACTATGCCATAGGCTCCATATAGTGTCTGGTCCACAGACCATAATATGAGCACCCAGTCAGGCTAGGCACTGCAGCAACCCACACATAGATCTGGGAGGTCCTGGCAGCTAGTGGTGCTGGAAGCACAGCATAGTGGCTTCCAACTGGAAGTTTCAGACTACTACAGTGAGTAGATGCTCACTACTATGAGCTCTGGAACTTGGGAGGTGAAGCTACAAGTTTAGTGGAAACTATGTCGGACTTGGGGTTGAGAGCACAGAAGATTTCACTGGAGATTGTATCTACATCTCCAGATTCTTTCACCCTATGCTGGAAAACAGACACCACTCCATAGTCAAGTCCCTTACGCCACCTACTGGCTTGAAGGACTTGGACCCTGAGGGGAAAGGAGAGAGAAAGAAAGAGACAGAGAGAAAGCCTGCGCAAGCACATGTAACCGTAAGACCTAAAATTTCTGATTTTGTTTTTTATGTTTGTTTTTGATCACTGTCTTGATTTGATTGTTCTTACTGTTATTCCTTTGTGATTATTTTTAAATACCTGATTTAGGCAATTCTTGTATACTGCCATTGTCTTTTAAGTTTTGTTTTTCTCTCTTCCCATCACTGTAGGTGAGCCACAAAACCTACTGCTCAATGTTTAAGGTTAAATCACAGTGTCTCCCCTTTCCTATTTACCTTCCCCATTTAAATTCTCTTCTGTATACAAGTAGAACTGCTCTCACTTATATTTTCTCCTATCCCTATCTCTTCCTTTGTGATCCTTATTTATGAATACTTGTAGCAAGTAATTAGTCCGCCTGATCATACTTTATTTGGTTTAAGTATATGGTATTTATCTGTTTGATTTTCTGGTTTTTTTTTGGGGGGGGGCGTCCAGTCGTGGGCCTGAACTCTGGGCCTGGGCGCTGTCCCTCAGCTCTTCAGCTCAAGGCTAACACTCTACCACTTGAGCCACAGAGCCACTTCCGGCTTTTTTTTTTCCTGCTTATGTGGTGCTGAGGAATTGAACCCAGGGCCTCACGCATGCAAGGCAAGCGCTCTACCACTGAGCCACCTTCCCAGCCCCCTTTTTGATTTTCTTTATTACTCTTCCTCAACGCATCATCAGCTTACATTGTACTTAACATTGTACTTACATTACTCCATCCCACCATTTTTTTAAATAAAGCCATGCATCTTGTATGGTTCATCTTTGCTTGATTCATCTTTGCTTCTACATGCATCTAAAAATTCAGGAGCAGTCCCAATGGTAAGTCTTCATCAGCAATTGCCATAAATCTCAAGAGTTGTGGTTTACCAAATGCAACAGCTTTTGCAGCCAATTTTCCCCACCTGAGTGCAGAAGTGGACAGCACTCAATTTCTTGAGCGTTGAAGCCAAATGTTTGACTACTGAGACACATTTCCTCAATCTACTACACTACCTAGTCTGAAATAATCACCGAGAAACTGTAGCTAAAATGACATAGGAGATGAAAATACCCAACTAAAGGCTTAGCCCAAATGCATAAATCACAGTGTAGAACCACAAAATCCATAAAGATAGAAAACAACAAATCTCATTCAGAAGTCAAAAACTGCATAATAAAGAAAATAAATTTCATACAAATTTAGAAAACAATGACTGATTAATGAAATTAAAGATATATATATCTATATAGATATATATATATATGTGGAGCTAACTGAATTTAGAAATGATGCAAATAATTGAGCTTGCAAAATTCAAACAGCTAAAGGAAAAAAGTACAGGATATGAAAGAGGAATTTATTTAATAAAGATTTTTAAATTTTTAATTATGGAGATGAGGGGCTGGGAAGGTGTCTCAGTGGTAGAGTGCTTGCCTTGTATCATGAGGCCCTGGGTTCAATTCCTCAGCACCACTTAAGCAGAAAAAGCCAAAGTGGCGCTGTGGCTCAAGTGGTAGAGTGTTAGCCTTGAGCTGAAGAGCTGAGGGACAGCACCCATGCCCAGAGTTCAGGCCCTACAACCAACAACAACAAAAATAAAATTATGGAGATGAGAGCTCAGTAATATAAATTAAAAAGAAACTCAGTTGAAAGCTTACCTAATAAAACAGAGAAAATAAAAAATAGAGTATCACAAATTGAAGCTGAAACAGGAATTTTATCAGATATTGAAAACTCACTAGGAGCTAAGTGCGAGTGGTTCATGTCTATAAATCTTAGCTGTCAGGAGGTTGAAATCTGAGGACCATGGTTCAAAGCCAGCCCAGGCAGGAAAGTCTGAGAGACTCTTGTCTCTAACTAGCAAAAACTGGAAGTAGAGGTATGGCTCAAAGTGGTAGACTGCTATCCTTGGGCAAAAACGCTCAGAGACCGCATCCATGTCCTGACTTCAAGCCCCAGAACTGGCACCGAAAACAAAAGAGAGGAAAAGGGGAGGGGAGGGAAAGGAGAGAGAAGAAAAGAGGGAAGGAAAGAGAAGTGAGATCACTAAGAAAATATGTATGAGATATGAAGGAAAAGCATCAAAAACAAATCTACAAATCATGGGCATAGAAGAAGGACAACAGACATAAACTGAAAGCCTAAATAACCTGTTCAGTAAAATAATAACAGAAAATTCCTTAGTCATGAGAAGAAAAAAATGCATATGTACATACACACACACAAACACTATGTTCTTCTCATTATGAGCAAGATAAAACCTAACATGATCTACTTGAGCAAGCAAAAAGGTTATTTGGTCACCAATGTATTAGGTTTAACCTAACTTAATCTAGGGCTTAAAAATCACAAGAACACATTTTTCAGAATGCTGTCAACTGAAGATTGGCTTTATTCTCAGCCTCTAAATATTGGCCTGTGACAATTCCGGGTATTCTCTCCATGGTCTTAAATTTAACGTTCTCAAATCATCAAAGTCCAGCTATATCCTACCACCCCAAAAAATAAGTCAGTGGCTCCAAATTCTCTCCAGAAATCCTGTAAGCACCATTTTAAGATGCCCTTCTTAGGTCTTGCTCTATCCTTGAACAAGTCACTGAAGTTAGACTTGCAAGCTGCTCACTAGCTTGGGCCCAAGCTACTTTCCCATTCTTCCTTCAGTTCCACAGGAATACAGTGACTGGCTTAGACCAGTCAGTATCTGTTTCCAATGGAAAAGGTAGGGCTGTCTCACCACCTCCTGAATGTTTGTGAATGAGGAAGGATAATTTCTCAATGAGAATTAAAAGTATTGCCACAAAGATATTTGCATATGTCATTAATGGCTTGAATTCAGAGCTTAGGTGCTATCCCTTAGCTTTTCTGCTCAAGGCTGAAACTGTCACTTGAGCTACATCTCTACTTCCTTTTTTTGGTAGTAAATTGATGCTTAAGAAGAGTCTCGTGGACTTTCCTGCCCCACTAAGTTTGAACTCATTCTTCAAATCTCAGCTTCCCGAGTAGCCAGAATTATAAGTGTGAGCCATCACTGCTTGTCACAAAGGTTTAATTACAATCTTTTAAATAATTATATAAATTCTTTTGAAACATTTCAATTTGTCTTATGCTGCTTTATTTTAAATTTCCTTCACTTGAGATGTTATGAACAGTGAAATTTGAAGTGCCATACCAAATCAGACTTTTTAGTGAATAACTCTTTTTGTTATTGTTGTTGGTCCTTGGGCTTGAGCTTGGCCTAGGCATTGTCCCTGAGCTTCCATTTGCTCAAGGCTAGTATGCTATCACTTTAGCCACAGTGCCACTTCCATCTTTTTTTAATTTTTATTTTATTGTAAATATGCTGTACAGAGGGGTTACAGTTACATGAGTAAGGCAATGAGTACAGTACTTATCGATCATTGTTGCCCCTTCCTTGGTTGTTGTCCCACTCTCCCTACCCTCTCCCTCCTCCCCCATCCCAACCCCCCCCCCAAGAGTTGTAAAGTTTCATTCCAATATACTGTCCTGTGGGTGTCACTGTTGCATTGGATCATCCTGTGTCCTTGTTTCAGCAATTTGTTATTCTCCTTTCCCTCCCCAGATTAGACAAATGTACATACAAGATGCAGGGTATTGAAATCAAGTACAGTGACAACAGGGGGTATACCTCAGGGGGAAGAACATACAAAACAAACAAAAAAAACCACATATCTGTTTCTAAATTGTTTATTAGAGATAAAAGTATCACGAGGACTAGTGCCCATGGCTCACGACTGTAATCCTAGCTACTCAGGAGGCTGAGATCTGAGGATTGCAGTCCAAAGCCAGCTGGGGAAGGAAAGTCTGTGAAACTCTTTTTTTTTGGGGGGGGGGGCGGGGGTCTAATAGTAGGCCTGAACTCTGGGCCTGGGTGCTGTCCCTCAGCTCTTCAGCTCAAGGCTAGCGCTCTACCACCTGAGCCACAGCGCCACTTCCGGCTTTTTTCTTTTTGCTTATGTGGTGCTGGGGAATCGAACCCAGGGCTTCAAGCATGCAAGGCAAGTGCTCTACCACTGAGCCACCTTCCCAGCCCCTGTAAAACTCTTATCTCCAATAAACCACTCAGAAAACTGGAAGTGGCACTGTGACTCAAGTGGTAGCGTGCTAGCCTTGAGCTGAAGAGCTGTGGGACAGTGCCCAGGCCCAGAAGTCAAGCCCCACGACCAACAAAAAAAAAAAAGAAAAAAGAAATCAATTTCAATTGAGGCATTCCTTGGCCAAGTTCAATTGACACTTAAAATTAATTATGATACATTCCTTACTAGCAACTTGATTTTTTAAAAAATAGTATCTTCAGTTATAGTATCTTTGTTATAAAACTTTTCTACTGTGACAAAGAGGGGTGATTTAAAGTAAAAAGTAAGGGTATTTTTACTTAGGTGAAGTTTCAGTGTTAACATCCCTATGTAATTAATTTTTTTAAAGTGTTACTATCTTTAAGTGGTTATACAAAGAAGTTCCCATTCTACAAAACAGTATATGAATACAAAGTGTCTGATAACATGGTCATCCATCGCTCCTAACCCATCCCTTCTCTTACTTTCTTTTTTTTTAATTGAGATTAGCTGATTACATAAATTTCACATATTTCACAGTATTGTGGAATAGTGATACTTAGTTAAAGTACAAACACATTTTAACCTTCACAAGGCAAATTGTCATTATCATGGTCTATAAAGTTTGTGGATTCTATGAGCTTTAACATCCCTATGTAGTTACTTTTAAACCATCTAAAACTTATTTCCTGGTGTTTTTTTTTCTTTTTCAGGGCTTATTTCATATACTGAGTATCTTTTCTTGCTTACAATCCTCACTAGTAAGTATCCACCATTTTTTATAATAATCATGATAATCTTGTGCGTGTGTGTGTGTGTGTGTGTGTGTGTGTATGTTTGTTTGTTTGTTTTTTTGTTGGTCCTGAGGCTTGGACTTGGGGCCTGGGCACTGACCCTGAGCTTTTTTTGCTAAAGTCTAGTGCACTACCACTTACTTGAGACTTGAGCCACAGCTCCACTTCTGGCTTTGGAAGGGAATGGGGGAGGTGATTAATTGGAGATAAGAGTCTCAAAGACTTTCTTGCTGGCTTTGAACTGAGATCCTCAGGTCTCAGCATTCTGAGTAGTTAGGATTACAGGCGTGAGCCACCAATGCAAGGCAGTAATTCTCTATTCTTATCAGGATTTGCAAAGTTTGGCATTTGTGTCATTATTAAAAATTAGTGATGTATCCAGGCACCTGTGACTCATTCTTATAATTGTAGCTACTTGAGACTGAAACCTGTGGGATCTCAGTTCAAAGTTGGCCTAAGCAGAAAAGTACAAGAGATTGCATCTCCAATTAACTAGCAAAATGCTAGACTGAAGGTGAGACTCAAGTAGAACTTCACCAGAAAGCAATAGCACAAGGGCTGGGAAGGTGGCTCAGTGGTAGAGCGCTTGCCTTGCATGCATGAGGTCCTGGGTTCAATTCCTCAGCACCACATAAGCGAAAAGAAAAAAGCCGGAAGTGGCACTGTGGCTCAAGTGGTAGAGTGCTAGCCTTGAGCTGAAGAGCTGAGGGACAGCGCCCAGGCCCAGAGTTCAGGCCCCACGACTGGACCCAAAAAAAAAAAAAAAAAGTAACAGCCACTATGAAATTAGCCAAAGTTCTGTAAGAATAGCCCTTGATGGAGTTAAATGAATTTTCAAATTAATTTTACATTGAAGAGTAGAAAAGAGTTTCCATGGAAAAAGTGCTAGAGAACGTAGGAGCAAAACCTTTGCCACCTACCTACCTTTGAAAATTACCTGAAAAAGGTCATTTCTCTGCCTAGGTGCTTGCTCATAGAGTTTCTGGTGGTTTGTTTCAAACTTGAAGATGTATCTATAAATAAGTTGTGATTCACCAAACATTTAGGAAATTTACGTATTTTTCACTTCATTGCAGAACCTCATACAGGGTTTCATGTTGCTTTTAAAATGCTGGATGCAGATGGGAATGAGAGGATTGAGAAAAAGGAATTTGTTAAGGTAAGAAAGTGCTCAGTATTTGGAAGTTATCATAAAGCACTTGATGCTTGTGCAATAAATTTACACTTATACAACTATCAAAATTATGTTCACTACTTACATTATGAAATGTTAAGAAATCATTTGCACATTAAAAAAATGTTTGTTACATTTTCCAAAATATTATCTTGAGCAAAGTGAGTGATCAGCACATAAGATTTCAAAAGAAGAAGTAAGCTTAAACTTATCTATATGTTTAGGGAATTTTTTTTAATCAGGGAATTATAATACAGTAAAAAGGTTTCATATCATATATATGTTTGTAAAAATAGTTGTCAAAGACATTAAAATTATTAACAAGAAAAAAAGAGTAAGAATAATAGAAACTTTTAAGTAATGTGCCTTTTATCACAAAGCTCAAAAGCCTCCAAGTTACCTTTTTTAAAAAAACAAATAAATTTCTTCAGACTTTGTTGTTGTAGTTGTAGTATCAGGTTTTGAACTCAAGATCTCATTCTTGCTAGGCAAAAGCTTTACTACTGAGCCACAACTCCCCACCAGTCTTTGGCTGGTGGGTTTTTTTTCCCAGTACTGGGCTTGAATTTGGGGCCTGGATGCTGTCCCTGAGCTCTTTACTCAAGTGAGCCACAGCTCACTTCTGAATTTTTGTAGTTAATTAGAGGTAAGAGTCTCGGGGCTGGGAAGGTGGCTCAGTGGTAGAGCGCTTGCCTTGCAAGCCTGAGGCCCTGGGTTCGATTCCTCAGCACCATATAAGCAAAAAGAAAAAAAGCCGGAAGTGGCGCTGTGGCTCAAGTGGTAGAGTGCTAGCCTTGAGCTGAAGAGCTGAGGGACAGCGCCCAGGCCCAGAGTTCAGGCCCCACAACCAACCCAAAAAAAAAGGTTAATAGAGTGGGTGTCTGTCATCAAAGTACATAATATACATGCATAGAAATATCAGGATGAATCCCATTACTTTGTGTACTAATAAAAAGAAAAATATGGAATAACCTCTATAGAACCTGGCCAAGTTGAAGTGGAGGGATAAGAGGACAGGAGAAATCAATGGCCACTGCTTTTTCTAGCCTATTACCTGAGTAGGAAAGATAATCGTAATATCTTTCATTAGACTTTTTTTTTTTTTGGCGGTTTGAACTCAGAGCTTTCACTTGATGGGCAAGCACTCTGCACTTGAGCCATACCCCTAGCCCAATAATAGCACTCTTTGATGAAAAAAATATCACTTATTGGCTATATCTTTCATATATGTTATATTTACAACATCCATTTGCAGTAGTATCCCTATTTTATAGATGAGAAAATTGGTATGTACAGTAGACTCTTGATATGTGCAAAATCTGTGGTTCCAAGGAAATGCCCAGGATGCAGAGTTCAGTACTGGATTGAAGATGCTTGATTCATTTGTCCCATAACACTGCCCAAACACATACCACTACACACATGCTGTCTTCAACAAATCTAATCTAACACTATTACCTTGTTTGGGGGACACAATTTGCTTTTTGGAAAGCATATTTTCACTAAATTAAGGGCAGAGAAATATTCAGCAATGACACAAGAAGTACAGATTGATAGCTGTACATAAAACAAGTTTTTTGTCATATTTTTGTCATTTGTCATTTGATTATTTAAAAAGAAAATTAATTTAAATCCAGCCTAAGGAAGTAAATATTTGCCTAAGTAGAACTGAAATATCAGTACCATACTTCTATTCTACCATACTTCTTTTTAATCTTTTGTTGTTGTTGTTGTTATTGGTCGTGGGGCCTGAACTCTGGGCCTGGGCACTGTCCCTCAGCTCTTCAGCTCGAGGCTAGCGCTCTACCACTTGAGCCACAGCATCACTTCCAGCTTTTTTCTGCTTATGTGGTGCTGAGGAATTGAATGCAAGGCCTCATGCATGCAAGGCAAGCACTCTACCACCGAGCCACCTTCCCAGCCCCCCATGCTTTTTATTCTTCATATCTCAGGGACAAGAAACAAATCTATAACAATTACTATTATTCACATAGTTCATATGGGTAGTTTATATGATAAGCTCATTATCCATGAAGATGAGATTCTCTTAGGTTAATTAAGCTATTTAGTGACTCCTTAGGAGTCACTAGGTATAGGGAACTAATAGGTCTTACATCTCTTGGATAGTAAAATCGGAGATAGTTTTAAAAAATAGACCTAAGAGAGCCCCTGGTAATATTGCTATCATGCTTTCAAAGTTCAGCATTTTGTTTCACTTACAGAGGTTTGATAACGACATGAGGCCAAACTACAAAGCCTAAAGAAAATACTGATTAGCAGTGCAGAACATGTTATGTTCCCATTTCCACAAGGACATAACTAAGGCTTTTACAAAAACTCAGTCTTTTCTGTAGATGCAGACTCTGTTCTTGATATTATTACATATACTTTAATTTTTCAAATATGCTTTTTACTTAATAGGGACATATGCTGCATTTATAGACCAATTTCTGATTACTGACTTACCCTTAAATATCTGAAAAATTATTGAATAACTAGTCCATGAATTATGATACATCACTTTTCTTTTAAGTTTGAGGTTACAAAATTCAATTTTTTATTTTTTTTTATTTTTATTTTGTCAGTCATCGGGCTTAAACTTTAGGCTGAGTACTGTCCCTGAGCTTTTCAGCTCAAGGCTAGTGTTCTACCACTTGAGCCACAGCGCCACTTCTGGCTTCTTCTGTTTATGTGGTGCTGAGGAATTGAACCCAGGGCCTCATGCATGAAAAACAAGCACTCTTACCACTGAGCCACCTTCCTAGCCCATAAAATTCAATCTTAAAAGCCTATAAAATACAATGTGACATGATACAGATTTTTAAAAACAACATTTGAGCCAAATACCTGTGGTCAGGCCTATAATCCTAGCTAATCAGGAGGCTAAGATCTGAGGATTGTGGTTTGAAGCCAGCCCAATCAGGAAAGTACATGAGATTCTTATCTCCAGTTAACTACCAAAAAGCCAGAAGTGGTTTCTGACTCAAGTGGGAAAGCACTAAGCTTGAGAAAAAAAAGTTCAGGGTAGCACCCAGGCCCTGGGTTCAAGCCCTAGGACTGGCACCAAAAAAATAAAATAAAAAATAACATTTAGAAGAAAATTGCATTTAAATTAATTATTTAAATCATTATTTCACTTCCATGGTCTTTATATTACTAAGTCTAAGTATGTAGCATCTTACATTTCAAACAGTCTTAAAAGAAACAAATAGTTCTTTGCAGACTATAAAACATATTTAAAGAATAGGGAGGGGCTGGGAAGGTGGCTCAGTGGTAGAGCTCTTGCCTTGCATGCTCGAGGCCCTAGGTTCGATTCCTCAGCACCACATAAGAAAAAAGAAAAAAGCCGGAAGTGGCTCTGTGGCTCAAGTGGTAGAGCGCTAGCCTTGAGCTGAAGAGCTGAGGGACAGTGCCCAGGCCCAGAGTTCAGGCCCCACAACCGGACCCAAAAAAAAAAAAGAATAGGGAGAGGGGGCTTTAGTCTATCTCAATGTTGACTCAATTAATTTTAGTTATTGCTCTCCCCACTGTAAGTTATAAAAAGTAATGAAATTTACTTTAAAATCTAAGACATAAGTATAACAAAGTGATTTCAACAACAAATGTAAAAGTAGTGATAAAACATATTAATATAAAATCTTGTGAAAATGTCCCAAAATGCAAAACACTTTGGTTTACTTCTGTGTTTCATAGCACATTTATGTTTTATTAACAACCAGATCTAAAAACTGTATTACTGAGTGTATTGCTTGTGCCTTTATCCCAAGAACTTGTAAAATAGCAGCTATCTACATGACTTGTACTTTGTCAGGTAATAATAAACAATACAGACAGTGATCAAAGCCAGTAATAGTTAATCCGTTTCATCTCTACCTTGATAGATGGTACATCTGCTTATGTAGAAGTGCCAAGGTTTTAATGCAGCTTCTCTAAACAATAGATTAATGACAAGTCTGTTTACTAATATAAATTGCTCCCTAGGTGGTCCTTTTATTTCACATTGTTTTCATACTGGCAGAAAGGATTACTACAATAATGTCAAAATTTATCACATCAAATATCCTGCTAGAATTAATACTACATAAATAAAAAAGCCTTTAGTAGAATGTATTCTTCTTAATTTTATGATAGTATTCTAATCCAGAGTTTATTTAAACTGTCATTTCCCTGAAAGCAAAAGTAAGTTAAATTGGCTCAGCATGCTTTGTTTTCAGCCTGAAATTGGAAGTACCCTTCAATGTAAATGTAACAGTCAATTTAGTGGTACTTTTTAGCCATTCAGAATTTGTATCAAGTGAGAATGCTTATGTGTCTCTAACCCTGTTTCTCTAACATAGCACCCCTATTTCCACCCAAATCTCCTTCCCCCAATCCTATGGTAGGTTTTAGTTACTCAAATCCAGCCCAAATACCATCTCCTCATAATGATCCACCTCCAGCTATGTGTCTCTGTCCTATTACCCTGCTCTATTTTATTATACTCATAGAACTTGACAAGCTCTGACATGACTATATTCGAGTACTTGTTTGTTACCTCTAGCCCATGAGAATGTAAGCACTGTCCCCCTGTTCTGTATCCCCAGCATAACAATGCTGTTCTGTCCCAGTGAGCACTTAGGACCTTGTTGTCATGAGCTAATGTCATGTCTAGCCATTGTAGAAAAGATCTTAAGATAGATACCAGAAAGATCTTTTAGCCCAGGTCTCTAGACAATATGTTTAGGTTTGTGCTTTTTCAAATGGAGATATTATGTAGAACTTAATACCCAGAAGCAGAACCTGCTGGAATCTTCCCCTTGTATCCAACTATATTGTATTAGGTAAAACCTGACATGACAAGATTTATCTGGCACAAAACATACTTTGATAGACTATAGGATAATCCCTTGCTATTCTGAATTTCATACCATGTTTGGATAAGCCTCCTAAAAAAATTCTTAAGTGAACTAATCTTATTTGCTTTTTTTTGTTGGTTTTATTTGATT